GCACCAGGTTAGGTTTATGGAAATGAACAGAACTGACAGGGTCTCTGTTCTCATGGAACTTGCAAGCTTGCTTTCTTAATGGAGGAAATGGATGTCTGCACACTGGAATGAAGGCTGTAAAGAAATCAAAGGACTGAAGTAGAAAATAGGAGGTCCCACCTGAAGTGGTCAGGAGGCTGCTCTAAAGAGGTGACATTTGTATTGAGGAAGATGAGATGGAGAGAACTGGAGGGAAAGCATTCTAGATGTCAGGAACAGCATATGCAAAGGCCCTGCAGCAGGACTAGAAGAGACTTAGTTTTAAGCTAAGTGTGGATCTAGGAGTCCCAGAGCAACCTGAACAAGAGAAAACTGGGAAAGATGGAAGCCCCAGAGCCAGTGTTCAAGGGCAAGGCCTAGGCCACAAGTTCAGATTTGCTGCAGGTCAAATCATTATAGACTATCCTAGTCTGGGGGCTGCGGGGGTCCATGCCATAGGATGGGGATGGCTTAAGGCAATGACAACTCATTGGAAATTGTGGAAATCCCTTCTGAATTTCAGAGACAGTATATGGGCTGCAGGATCCTGATAGCTGGGAGTAGGTGAGCTTAAGCACCCTTTTTCCTCCTCCTTAAAACATGTGAGGTCTGGCCTGGGTCCCTTTTCCTTTATTTAGCCATGGTTGACTGAGGCCTCCTCTGTGCCAAGCACTGTACTGGGCACTGGGGATATTGCAGTGAACAAAACAGATAAACCCCTGCCCTCAAGGAGCTTGTATCTCAGTGGGGGACACAAACACAAAACAAAAGACCCTTACCCCAAACAAACTCAGTGTCTTGGGAGAGGACTAGGTGGGGAGATCTCCCTTCCTGGGTTGGAGCCCTAAGATTTTGGCTCCTCCATTAGTCCTTTTTCTAGGGGATTCTACTCTGAGACCAGAGTGCCTTGGCCCTTAGGTCCTCTTTCCTGTTGGTGAGAATTTAAAGAGAAATACACACACACACACACACACACACACACACACACACACACACACACACACACCCCTCCCCTTTTAGGGGCTGTTAAAGGCCCACACACAGACATAGGAACACCCAAATGCACATACTTCTCTAATCTCCCTAATCCCCCAAGGCTGGGGTGGTGGTTGTAGTGGTTCTCTGTTTCTCTATTTAGCTCAGGAGAAGCCAGGCTACGGGCCTGGCTTAGCCCCCGCACCCCCCTTCCCCTGGGCTGGTGCCTGGGTCCCAGTCATTCCCACACCTGGCCTGGGAGGTAAATGAATGTACTGAGCAAACATCCTTGCAGCTTCCTGCTGCTCCCCTCTGAGACAACAGCACTCCTCCTTCTCTTCCTCCTCCCCACACCCTCCCAGTTGGGGCATCTCTGGGATCCAGAGCCATTTCCCTCTAGAGAAACCAGAGTCATCCCTTTTCCTTAGCCAGAAGAAGAAGGCAAGATGCACACAGCCCTAGTGTCTCTATCTGGAGACACAACTTGTTCTCTCTCTGGCCCTTTATCTCAGCTTTCTGAGCACCAGACCCTCCCTCATACCTGCCCAGGGGGTGAAGGATATAGGATACAGGGGATGAGGGCTCTCCAGTGGCCACATCAGGAACTGTGAGAGAGGTAGAGGGAGGAGAAGCCCCCCTCCCCCACATCTGGTAGGAAGGGCAGCCCCTTTGGAGGGGTGTCTCTGAGAATCACATGGATAAGCTGGGAACAGCATAAAGGGAAAAATAAAGTACCCCTGACCACCTTCAAGCACACTGGACTTGAACTGCATATTCATTCTGTCTCTGTCCAAGCAAATGTGTATTTCTGACAGAGTTGTGTTCAGGGTGAGCATAATTTTTTATTCTTTTTGCACGGAGCAACAGAGCACACACATTTCCCACATGACTCTACGGCTTTTATCTGATTTTTAAGAAGGATAATGAATACCCTATTCTCCATCTTCCAGACTGAGAAGCACACAGACTCCATCCCTTCCCATCCGTACCTTGGAAACATTTTCCTATCCTCATGCAGAAGGAAGAAGGCGTTGGGGGGTAGGGTTGGTACATGGTCCCAACTGTAAGGGATCTTAGACATCTAAGTGGAGGTACCAGAGAAGGAAAATGACTTGCTCAAGGTCACACAGCAACTCCTGGATGAGTGGGTCTTACCACAACCCCATCTAGTTTCTGGAATAAGTTAACTATAGAAACTTACCTGCCAGGCACATTCCTACATTAATTGTTAATTAATTTTCTCACTAAATCTCTATAATAACACTATGGGGAAGGATCTGTATCTCCATTTGTAAGATGAGGGAGGCCCAGAGGAAGAAAAGTCACTTGCCTGAACCGCCCACCTGGCTGGTGGCAGGACAGCTATAGAACCAAATCTCCTGATTCCCAGCCCAGGAGTTCTTGGTCTCTCCTCTTAGAAATCCTTTCCTTTCTCCCTGCCTGGCCTGGCCTGGCCTTGCCTAGGTTCAAGGTCAGGAGTTTCCCCAGCAGGGCTTTCCCTCCCCAGTTCCAGGGCTGGATACCACTGTCTGATCCTGCCTCCTTTCCTGCGCTGGACCAAGGCCCAGATGAGCAGCTGGGGACACAAGGCTGAATGGAGCAGCAGGAAGAGGCTGTAGGCGGCAGAGTTCATTCAGAAGAAAGCCCTACTCAGAGCTGCTGAGGGCACCTCATGGTGGTAGTGGTGGTGGGGGCTCTACCACTCCCCTCTGGCTGCAAGGGTACAAACTCCAACAAACCCCTCTCCCTCTGACCAGTATCTGTTACCAACTTCAGGAAGGGGGTATGGAACCCTAAGTCCCTGCCATTTTACTCCTAGGATCTGTGCCAGACCGTCCTTAGCAAGACTTGATCCAACCTCTCCCCATTTTATAGATGAAGAAGCAGAGGTGCAGGAAGGAAAGCTGGTGGCATGGCCCAGGCTCACAGGGGGAGGCAGAAGCAGAGGCAGGACTAGAACCCAGGTCTTCCCACTACAAGTCCTCTCCCCTCCTCCACTTGGCCTGTGTGCAGAAGTGTGCTCCCTTTGACTGGGACCGGGGCCGTCCTCAGAGAACAGGGTGACCCAGATCTCCTTAATGGAGGGCTGGGAGACCTCACACCCCACGCCTCCCTGACTCAGGTTCCTGTCCCTTGGCTTGTTTCCCTACCGTCAGTCTAGCAAATTGGGACAATTTAGACGGAAGTCCAAGATGTACAACCCTTGACGTCTCTATGCATTTGGCTCTTGTCTGGCCAAGTTCATCTTAGTCCCAGGAGGTAGAGGCCAGCCAGCACCCCTTAGATGGCGTGTGTGTGTGTGTGTGTGTGTGTGTGTGTGTGTGT